TACATGTGAGAAAGCAACAGCTGTATCAAATGCCTTAGCAAGAATGATGCCAAACATCGGTGGCCCACGACAGAGTAGAAGAATTTTAATTTCAAGGGTAACGAACTCAGTTATTCTTTATGGAGCACCAATTTGGGAATGCGCAATATCTGAAGCATCTAGAAAAAACATTTCTGCAATACATAGAAGAAGCTGCCTAAGAGTATGTAGTGGTTACAGAACAATTTCTGCAGAAGCAGCAAATGTAGTAGCGGGCATAATACCTGTGGACTTAGCAGCCAAAGAACTATCGGCTGTCCACGAAGAGAAATCTAGAAACCCACATATCCCAAAGGTGGAAATAAGCCGGATAGAAAGGGAGAAAACTATGAGGGAATGGCAGAGGAGATGGGAAAGTACAAGTAAGGGCCGATGGACCTTTCAACTAATCCCAGACATCAATATATGGATAAATAGACGCCATGGTGAGCTGAACTACCATTTTACGCAATTCCTTACAGGACATGGTATCTATAGGAGCTATTTATACCGGTTTGGCCATGACAACTCACCAAGATGCCCGAAATGCCCAGATCTAGATGAAACAGTAGAACATGTCGTTTTTAATTGCCCACAATTCTCTGGACTACGAAGCAGGTTGGAATCGTGCATTGGCGAACAAATAAGGACAGACAATATAATAGAAGCAATTCTAAAATCAGAACATAACTGGTCATTGGTGAACATGTACATAACTTCAATAAATATAGCTCTGCGAGATGCAGAGATTATTCGCAAGGCCCAGAACGTGGCCTAGGAGACGAACTCTGAGAGTTAAGGAAGTTCAGCGTCAAAGCTGACCACCCCGCGAAGTAGTACCTGGTGGCAGTTCCGCGGAGTGTGGTGTTGACGATGGAGGTGGTTTTAGTCGGTAGGAATCCGACATACCCTTTATGGGACCTATGTAAGGTTTCCTCCTCCACTATACAAAAAAAAAAAAAAAAAAAAAAAAAAAAAAAAAGACTATAGACTAGACTATAGACTAGACTATAGACTAGACTATAGACTAGACTATAGACTAGACTATAGACTAGACTATAGACTAGACTATAGACTAGACTATAGACTAGACTATAGACTAGACTATAGACTAGACTATAGACTAGACTATAGACTAGACTATAGACTAGACTATAGACTAGACTATAGACTATAGACTAGACTATAGACTAGACTATAGACTAGACTATAGACTAGACTATAGACTAGACTAGACTAGACTAGACTAGACTATAGACTAGACTAGACTATAGACTAGACTAGACTATAGACTAGACTAGACTATAGACTAGACTAGACTAGACTAGACTATAGACTAGACTAGACTAGACTATAGACTAGACTAGACTAGACTAGACTATAGACTATAGACTAGACTATAGACTAGACTAGACTATAGACTAGACTATAGACTAGACTATAGACTAGACTATAGACTAGACTATAGACTAGACTATAGACTAGACTATAGACTAGACTATAGACTAGACTATAGACTAGACTATAGACTAGACTATAGACTAGACTATAGACTAGACTATAGACTAGACTATAGACTAGACTATAGACTAGACTATAGACTAGACTATAGACTAGACTATAGACTAGACTATAGACTAGACTATAGACTAGACTATAGACTAGACTATAGACTAGACTATAGACTAGACTATACTAGACTAGACTAGACTATAGACTAGACTATAGACTAGACTACAGACTAGACTATAGGACTAGACTATAGACTAGACTATAGACTAGACTATAGACTAGACTAGACTATAGACTAGACTATAGACTAGACTAGACTAGACTAACTATGACTAGACTATAGACTAGACTATAGACTAGACTATAGACTAGACTAGACGATAGACTAGACTATAGACTAGACTATAGACTAGACTATAGACTAGACTATAGACTAGACTATAGACTAGACTATAGACTAGAGTATAGACTAGACTATAGACTAGACTATAGACTAGACTAGACTAGACTGGACTATAGACTAGACATAGACTAGACTATAGACTAGACTATAGACTAGACTATAGACTAGACTATAGACTAGACTATAGACTAGACTATAGACTATACTAGACATAGACTAGACTATAGACTAGACTATAGACTAGACTTACTAGACTTAGACTACTATAGACTAGACTATAGACTAGACTATAGACTAGACTATAGACTAGACTATAGACTAGACTATAGACTAGACTATAGACTAGACTATAGACTAGACTATAGACTAGGACTATAGACTAGACTAGACTATAGACTAGACTATAGACTAGACTATAGACTAGACTATAGACTAGACTAGACTAGACTATAGACTAGACTATAGACTAGACTATGAATATAGACTAGACTATAGACTAGACCACAGACTAGACTATAGATTAGACTATTGACTAGACTATATAGTCTAGAATAGATAGACTAGACTATAGATTAGACTATAGATTAGACTATTGACTAGACTAGATAGTCTAGACTATTGACTAGACTATAGAATGGACTATAGACTAGACTACAGACTAGACTGTAGACTAGTCTATAGACCAGTCTAGTTTATAGTCTAGTCTATAGACAAGGAGAAAAAGAAAGAACAGGGGCTGCGGTTGTTGCACCAAAATGACCAGGTGAAAAGCTTTTCGTTATTAGAACAGTTCTGGCACAGTTTTAATTTATGAATTCCAGTAGAGATATTTTGGAATCCCTTTATCCTCTGATGTGATCAAATGAATTTTTATATAAAAATAAAATAAATAAGAACAACAATTTAGTTAAGAAAAAATTAACTTTTTATTGACCTTATAACAAATATAGTACTTGTTATGTTTTAAAGTACCAAAGTAATTTTCCAATAGACTATAGACTAGAGTGCAAACTAGACTATAGACTAGAATATAGAATAGTCTATAGACTAGACTAGAGTATAGACTAGACTATAGACTAGGCTATAGACTAGACTATATACTAGACTATAAACTAGACTAGACTATAGACTAGTCTATAGACTAGACTATAGACTAGACTATAGACTAGACTATAGACTAGACTATAGACTAGACTATAGACTAGACTATAGACTAGACTATAGACTAGACTATAGACTAGACTACTAGACTAGACTATAGACTAGACTATAGAATAGACTATAGACTAGACTATAGACTAGTCTATAGACTAGACTATAGACTAGACTATAGACTAGACTATAGGCTAGACTAGACTATAGACTAGACTATAGGCTAGACTAGACTATTGACTAGACTATAAACTAGACTATTGACTAGACTATAGACTAGACTATAGACTAGAATACAGAATAGTCTATAGACTAGAGTATAGACTAGACTATAAACTAGACTAGTGACTAGACTATAGACTAGATTATAGATTATAGACTAGACTATTGACTAGACTAGATAGACTAGACTATAGACTAGACTACTGACTAGACTATTGACTAGACTATAGACTAGACTATTGACTAGACTATAGACTATTGACTAGACTATAGACTATTGACTAGACTATAGTCTGTAGTCTAGTCTATAGTCTAGTCTGTAGTCTAGTCTATAGTCTAGTCTATAGTCTAGTCTATAGTCTAGTCTATAGTCTAGTCTATAGTCTAGTCTATAGTCTAGTCTATAGTCTAGTCTATAGACAAGGAGAAAAAGAAAGAACAGGGGCTGCGGTTTTTGCAGCAAAATGACCAGATAGAACAGTATTGGCACAGTTTTAATTTATGAATTCAAGTAGAGATATTTTGGAATCCACATCATCTGATGTGAACAAGTGAAAAAATTTACTTTTTATTGACCTTATAACAATTATAGTAGTACTTTTTATGTTTTAAAGTACTAAAGTAATTTTCCAATAGACTAGACTGCAAACTAGACTATAGACTAGAATACAGAGTAGTCTATAGACTAGACCATAGACTAGTCTAGTCTATAGGGAAGGAGGAAAAGAAAGAACAGGGGCTGCGGTTTTTGCACCAAAATGACCCGATAAAAAGCTTTTCGTTATTAGAACAGTACTGGCACAGTTTTAATTTATGAATTCAAGTAGAGATATTTTGGAATCCCCTGATGTGATCAAGTGAATTTTTATATGAAAATAAATAAGAACTAACAACAATTTAGTTTATAGACTATAGACTAGACTATAGACTAGACTAGACTATATAGACTAGACTATAGACTAGACTAAACTATTGACTAGACTAGACTATAGTCTGTAGTCTTGTCTATAGTCTAGTCTATAGACAAGGTTTTTGCAGCAAAATGACCAGATAAAAAGCTTTTCGTTATTAGAACATTATTGGCATAGTTTTAATTTATGAATTCAAGTAGAGATATTTTGGAATCCGCTTATCATCTGATGTGAGCAAGTGAAAAAATTTACTTTTTATTGACCTTATAACAATTATAGTAGTACTTTTTATGTTTTAAATTAAAGTAATTTTCCAATAGACTAGACTATAGACTAGAATACAGAGTAATCTATAGACTAGACTAGACTAGAGTATAGACTAGTCTATAGACTAGACTATTGACTAGACTATAGACTAGACTATAGACTAGACTATATACTAGGCTATAGACTAGACCATAGACTAGTCTAGTTTATAGGGAAGGAGGAAAAGAAAGAACAGCGGCTGCGGATCAAGTGAATTTTTATATGAAAATAAATAAGAACTAACAACATTTTAGTTAAGAAAAAAATTAACTTTTTATTGACAAAACTTGAATTATGGGTTATTTACATTTAAATTAGTTTTAACTGTGCAACGTAGAAAATAATCTTATATTTATCATTTTTGAAGAATGTTTAATTCAATTATATTATAGTTTTCTGCGATTAAAAATGATTTTTTTTAAAAGAAATAAAATAAGAAAATTCAAAATTATAAAAAGTACATTAAATAAGCATTTGAGTACTCGTATTTGCGGATTACATACAGAAAAGTCTTTTGTTTTTATTATAGAAATTATCAATTTCTGTTTTACATAATAATAACGATAATATAAAAAGGTTAAATACATAGTATTTTGTACATTTACATAAAATAAGTTTGATTTCTTTTTTATTTCGAGGAAAAGTCTTACATTTTTATTATACATATTTTTAATTTAATATTATTTGTTTATGTTTATTATATGTTTTATTTGAATTATTTTTATTTTTTATGCAGTTAAATTTATATGTATGTAAACAGTACATAGTTATGTTTTTATAAATGTGCAATTTATTTATTTTGTAGTAAATATAATCTTATTTTTTTAAATTATTTTTTTTATGTTTACGATTACACTCATAAAGGCAGGTTGATAAATTTTTAATTTTAAAACAAAACTTGCTCTTTATTAAAACTTGCTAGCAATAGTTTTACACAAAAACGTTAAAAAAAAACTGCATACATATCTTTTCCTTAATGTAGTTTTATAAAGCTATGAATGACGTTAATGTATCAAAATAGATCTAATTGCAGCGAAAGAAAACTCGGCAGACTTTATATATGTACATATATTTTTTTAATTTTAAAATACCGCCTCATTTTTAGATTCGGTTAACCATTATCTACGGAGGTGACATTTTAAATATTAACCCTTTATCTTAATAGAAATGTGTACATAAACTAGCAAAATCATTTTAGAAATTGGTTTCCATGCGGAAAGCTTTTTAACCATATTGACATAAAAAATAGCTTTTTATTATCAGGACAGAATTGGCTATAAGAGAGTGTTATTTTGCCGCCTCAATAAAGTTATACCCTAATGTATGTACGTCTGTCTGTAGAATTAAAATTTGTGTATGTATGTATAAGGACGCCAGATATCCTCGAGATCCCAATCTTCAATAATTCTATAAGACATGCTTTCGAGAAGTTTGTTATTGGAAATCGGTCTATATATAACCGAGATTTGAAGAAAATTCTGAAACCATTAAAATTTTGTCAAAAATACGAATTGTTTACCAGGGATTCATACAAAAACCCAATGGCAACCTCATTGTAGAACTAATGATTTACATAGGTTTCCGTAATCCAAAACGAATCAGCTGATTCATCACGGGACGGAACGTAAAAACTAACTGAGCCTTAACTGTTTGAATAACTTTAATGAAATATTTACAGTTTTTCTATAGGGGAATTTCAAAAATTTTCGAACAGGATTTTACCTTTACCTTATATATCAATACTGTCTGATCTAACCATCGCGTACACATAGATTAACACCGCTATAGTGGGAAGGGTATTATTCGTTTGTGCTGATGTTTGTAACACCCACAAATATTGGTCCTACACCTTAAAGTATACCAATCGGCTCAGAATTACTTTCAGAGTCGATTTAACTTTATCCGTCTGTCTGTGTCTCCAAGTATCTAAAGTTTGTGCGCTCGCTAAAGATCGCAATTTTCAAGATAATTTGATAGTGTGAAGGTCAAAATTCACTTATAAGGTCAAAACTCACTTATAAACACTAATATCACGATGAAATTCTACATAAGTAACTTTGATGTAGACGTAAATTGCTCTACCAACATTTATAAGTATAGACCCATATTTACCCTCACCCCCGTATAAGCTCTCTTGTAGAAAATCTATTTTTTGGCAACAATAAGTAAAAATATTCCAGAAGTAAGGTAAAAATCAAATTAAATGCTTTATTAATTAAAAAATAATCCAAATTTTTAACATACTCAGTGGTGTAAGGTATCATATGGTCTTCCATGCCCGACTATAAATTCATACGGTGTAATATACTTATGTCCACTTATACATGCATTAGGGTATCTCGTGGACCACGTGGACTAACAAATCTAATCTTCTAATAAAAAATGATCCACCCAACTAGTTATAAAACAATTATATCAAAGGACAAAAAGGTTTAACACCAGTTTTAGACACTAAAGAACAAAATAAGACCCATCCAAACAAAATCGACATTTGGTGGGCACCTCTAATGGTCACACAAACGGACGGACCTATTTCGATAAAAGTAAAAATAATATGCTACCAAAAATACTCTAAACAAATTTTAAAAATATAATTCTCGTAATCAGAACAAAATTACCGAATTTTTGAGACCCATTTCGAAGAGATTGCAGAAATTTTTTTTAACATATTGTTATGAAATCAAGATTTTTAAACTAAAAACTGCCTGTTTTACAGAATTTATCCTTGAGGAGGAAATTTGTTGTAGACATTTTTAAAAACTTAAAAACTAGAGCCGATGCCTCATACATAAAAAATAAAAATAAGACTGCTTAACGGAAGCTATCAATATATTATTCACACTCCTTGAAGTTCAAATTCAAAAACCAATATACACATATGTATGTATTTAGTTTGAATTTCTCGTACATATTTTTAATGTAGATTAGGATGTGTGTTTTAATTATTACGCTGCATTGTAATATTTAGGTGAATATTCTTTTGTCGACGTTTTTAAATAAGATGCATTTAACGTGAATAAAAACGTATGGTATTTCATCGTTGTATAAGGATTATATAATAATTTTAATAATGTAATGGTCGTTTGTTTCTAATTTTTGTATCTATTATTTAAGAAATCAAGAAAATGGTCCTTATCCTAAAAATACATTGTATATATTTTTGTCTTTTATATTATTCACTTTAAACTACAATTATTATTAAAGTTTTGCATAAAAAAGGGAAAGAGAGATAGAGAGGAGGAAAAGAGATATAAAGATAAATAAATAATTATAATTATTACCTAATAAATTGCATTAAGAATACTCGTAATATTAAATATTAGATTAGGTGAGTACGTAATTTTATATTCTCGTAATATTGATTGTTTCATTTATTGATTCGCTTCGTAGGAGCTGTTTGGTATCGTTTTCTATTTCAATTGGCGAAACGCCAACACTACCATTATTTAGATATGAGTTGTCTTCTTCCACTATTTTTTCTAATAAAATATCACCGGAAGTATTTAAACCTGTAAAAATAAAACATTAGGTTGTCAAAATAGTTGATTTATAATTATTCATATTACGTCCAACTATGGATCCATTTGGTACATTGTCAGTTGCTGAACTATTTACTAATGCCACATCAGTAGTTGAACCATTTCGTACATTCTTCTGCAAGGCGACTGCTTTTCGAGCATGGCGTGTTGTTAAGACTCCAGTTTCGACGTCCCGTTCCAAACGATGTCCTGATCGTGATCTAGTAAGTTGACGCTGTACGTAGTCTTCTAAATCTTCTTCCTCTTTTCGACTTATCAAACAGTTTAATATCAGCAAGAACAAACCCAAACCCAAAGAAAACAATCCTGTGCATGTTACTTCATTCCACCATGCCGAACTTGAGCCTGAAATTGAATAAAAAATATTTTTTAAATTTTACTTTTACTTCATATATTCATTTTAGTATTCAGTAATCTTATAAATTCGTTCAATTCGAAAAGAATACGCTTTTAAATTATTCTGCTAATGATTTGACCGACTTTGGTTTACCTAATTAAAATTGATTTCATTCTAATATATCATTTCCCAAATTGTTTGTGCTGGCGTCAATATTTGGTGATCTAGGTCAAAGAATGAAAGGGTATTTTTTGAGGATTTTATGATTTTTTTCATATTTCTTACCAAGAAACTATACCCAATTTTGGTATCATATGCAAGAAGCCATGTATAAGTGTCAAATATTTATGTGCGATTACAAAAGTATTAAAAACTGTGATATTTCAGAAAAATAATAAGCTTTTCATTGATATATGTACAATTACTACTACTTTATGATTTCGTCAGATTACAAACAGGCCAACGAAATGAAGGTTTGGAAAACCTTTTGAAACCAATCTGACAAGATTCCATGTATTTTTAGATGCTGAAAGTGAATCAGATATCAGTTTTAGTTCCTATATTACGGACATTTTATATAATTACAAAAATATATTAATTCCAATTTTTTTAATGTCGTTATAAATATGGGTGTTCCCAAGTTTCATTTAAATTAGTTGAAAACTAAATAATATTTCACTGCGGTTTCAATAAAGTTTACCAATATTGCAGAGTTTGACTTTGACCTTCACTGTTTACGGGCTAACATTAATAACACTGTAAGTATGTCAAAAAGGCACAGAAAAACGCCGAGACTAAATTTAATTTTGGGTCGTAGAATCTAGTGGCATTCTCCGTTTTGAAAAGTTGGATCAAAATCGGGAGATATTGCGTTTTAAAGTATCAACTTTTATGAGGTGATATTTAATTTTTTAAATTTTTAAAAATGTTTTCACGCATAGACATACGATCTAATTATGAAAAATTAAATATATATGCATAATAATTCAAATGGACTCTAGGTTCATGTATTTATTTACTTTTCTATGCATGTGAGTTTTGTTTTTTAAATTTAAATAATCAAAAATCACCTCAGAAACAGTATAAACTTTAAAATGCAATATCTCCCGATTCTACGACCGAAAATTAAGATCACGTGTTTCGGCGTTTTTCTGTGTCTTTTTGAAAGTTGAAAGTTTACGTACAGTGTAATTATTCTGTTTTACTAAAACTGATGTACATATGTTTCCTATTATCTAGAATTGAATATTTTGTATTACCTGGAATTTTATATTCTGGGAAGGTTTAATATAAAATGGAAAACAGTAACGAATTTTTCAAAAATAGTTTTTTTCCGAAATCCTCAAAATTCAAATCACAGGTACCTCTAATCTGTGAGAGATATTGAAACGATTTTTTATTATTTTAGTCCCTTATTTATTGTCCATAAATTATACATATACTTTACCCAAAAATAAGAATTACGTCGAATGAAGATAAAAACTCATATTTAAGTTAATGTGAATAAGTATTCCCAGCAGTTCGACAAAAAGGCAATGCATCCGTAAAAGACAGTCAATAACACTTGTGTTAAAGCAGATAATTGACCCTAATTTGTATACATACATATATTGAGTTATTTGTCACCAACGTACTCTTCGTAAACAAGTGAGGGGACACTAAAATTTTTTTTCAATTGTACTTCAGAATGTAGATATTTTACATATCTATTGGAGCCACAATTGTTATTTTCCACTTAATTTTAACCAGCTGGTTATATGTTTTTGGTCATTTATCACGAACGTACTCTTCGTAACCGAGAGCGAAGACAGTTACCTCTTTAGTGTGCACCAAGTAAGCAAGAGAGTGGACAGTCGTCACTTTACTATCCCCCGAGTAAATGAGAGAGGGGACACTTAAAAAAACTTATGAATGATGAGAAAAATACAATAAACAGAGCGCAAAGACAATAAACAATTATACTATTTCATCGCTTTTTAAGTTATTGAATTTTAGAATAAGGAAATGTTTTTTAAATAAATTAAAAAATAGTAAAAGTAATGACATTTAAATAATTAATATGTATTTATAATTTGAATTTAATAAAGATGAGTTAAAACAAAAATGTTTAGCCGAGAGATTACGGAAAAATTTAGTCTTTCCTTGATATAAAAAAGTTCTATTCAGAGTCATTTATGTATGTGTAACAATAAATTCCAAAAAATCGGATTTTACTGAAGATGCTAATGAGCAGCAATATTAAAATTATTTATTTCAATATTTATTTAAACTATAAATAAAAATAATTTTATTTAAAAGTTTTTTTTTATTTTTTTTTTACTTACTTACTTATTTAAACTATAAATAAAAATAATTTTATTTAAAAGTTTTTTTTATTTTTTTTTTACTTACTTAAAGGACACTTGACTTTCTCTTAGGATACGTCAACAGCTAGCAAAGTAACTAGTAAAAGAGCTAGTAATTTGTGACTCTTAAGAACTCATTTGGGCATTACCACCCATTGACTACTTTTGACTAGGTCTGGGCAGTCTCATTGTAGGCTACAGAGTGACGATTGACAAGCCCATGTTAAAATGGTTAGTCACCTGGGTAGTCTGGTGGCTAGGGGTCACCATAAGTGGTGTGTTCATTGGATAGTTCTGGACTGTCCCGCCGAACTGCTGGGTATATTACATCAAATCCGAAGAAATATACCTAGGCCACTATAGGGCCTGTTTTGCGCTCTTTTTCATAGAAGAGAAATGTTTATGGGTAAAAAAATAAACATTGTGTTAACTGAATGTAATTAAACTGGACGTAATTCCCAATAATTTTCCAATCAGTGTTCGCGAGGAATGTTATATGAGGAACGTTATATAACTCCCAAGTTATTTGGATCTAACTTCGACGAATGCCTGACAGTGGCAAAGAAAGTGCTCCAGAGTTTAACTGTCCTCTCCACATGCGCTACATTCGTCTGAATCCGCACTTCCAATTTTGTATAGCTGTGCCCGTAATCCTGTGTGCACACTTAGAATATTAATAATTAAGGAGATTTCTACTCTTTTTCTCATTAAGGATACCCCATAGAATCTTGTGGTTCTACCCACAGTTACATTTCTGTTTCTGGGTCTTCAATATAGAACTCCAGGCCCACTTTGTCCCTCAAATTAGAGCCATCCGTGTAGAAACGAATTCCTACTGGTATTTGCTCTAAATGTTCCGCTTGACCAAGACATTCTGTCTAAGTTTCCGACATATTCTGTGTCTGGAATCCGATCGGATACGTCCGATGATTGTGTATAGCATTCCAATGTGTCCAGTATACATTAATGACGTGTCCTTTAACAGCTTTTGGCCAGTTCGCCTAAAGTTATGAGATGTTCGGCTTAAATATGTTTCAATGTGTGGAATATCTAGCAAAGTTTCCAGAGCCTTGGTTGACGTAGTACTCATGGCACTACTTATACCCAAGTAGCATGTGCGATGAACTGTCTCTAGTAGTTTGGTATTACACTTTTATAAAGCCAATGTGTCATAGTAGGACTAAGACCCCATTTCATGCCTACACAGAAAAAACTGAAAAACGATTTCAATTACCAAAACCTCGTTTTCAATTATTTTATTTATTGAAGTTCAACCTATAACAAAAATTGTATCACCCAATTTACACGATGATTTTTTTTCATGTTTGCCCAGACGTCTGTTTTCATGTTTGTCGATGATTGGTGGTGAGCGGGGTAGAGAAGAATGGGGGGTAAGAAAACAAACATGATTTGGGATTTTCATGATTGTTTTTGACATTCCTCTTTAAACTCATTCGTACTGTTGATATTATGCTCATGTAAAAAAATAATTATGTCTTTTTTTACATGAAAACACTAAAATTTGCATTAAAAAAATACTATAGCGTGTTATTAATTTTTTTTTAAATCAAATTAAATGGTTTTTATGTTAAAAACTTCATTTTAGTTTTATTACGAATAAGTAATTAACAAGGATTATACAATTAAACATAAAAAAAGACATGCATAGTTGCATGTAAAAAATCGCCGTATAAATGTTCATGATTTTTTAGAAGATTCTCAAAAGAGAATTGGAAAAAACAGACGTCTGAAAAGTCTTCATGTAAATTGCGCCTATATTCAATTACTACTTATAATTGATTTCGTATAAAAAATTTTTATTTTTTTATATTTTTGTTGTTGTTAAATACGTAGTATTTGATTATACATTTTTATGATTCAAATACAAAATGAATTGAACCCTTTTAAAATTTTCGATTAATCGTTTAATTGAAAATTGTTTAAAATTAATTTTTTCTGTGTATAGTTCTCCTAAATATCGCCCAGCACTGATGTGCCTTATTGATCCTCTCCTCTAAGTGGTGTCTCCATTTTAAATTCCGGTCAAAGATGAAGATGAAAAGACAGATTTCCGTCTTCGACGGGTTAACGTTGAGCCCAGCTCAAGGCCGTATTCAGAGCATCCTGAGCTCTTCTACACAAGTAATTTGGATCCTTTCCCCTTAGAAGTATTACGACATCGTCTGCCTAGTAGACAGGTCTATGTTCTTTCTCGGTTAGGGTCCTTAGAAGGCTTTTAATCGAGGTAACCCAGAGTAAAGAAGATAAAATGCCAGCCTGTGGTGTACCGCGAAATACTCATTTACTGATAGTTATATCGTACATCTCGCAGCTTATCCATCTGTTCCATAGCATGTAGTTGATCCAGTTACGGAACACCCGGTCAACATAAAACTGGTCTAAAGAATGGATAAGAGTATCAGTGTGCACGTTATTGAAGGCGACTCGATGTCAATACATAAACTAAAATTTCAAAAGTTTTTTCGTCGTAGACCTGTGCTATTGAATAAATATTTAAGTTTTAATGAAGTACTCAGCAAAAGATGGCAACAACTTGTACTCACTTAACTACTTTCTTTTCAATGACTACCACATACCGGCTGCATTACTTAGAAGTAGTCTACTAATGTCTTACAAATAATATTATATGTAAGTACTTACTTTTTAGCCATGTAAATTTTAGAATTTGCAATGTAAGTTTTTACTAGGTACTTACATAATTCCACGCGTGGTATGTATTAATCTCCAATGTCACCAAAATTTTAAAATACTTACTTAAAATGCTATGTGTAAATGTAAATTTTAGCATTTTAACCCATTACTTCTTTTTAAGTCATGATTAATCTAGACTGAATTGTTTTGGTGAATTTTGTACAATTCACAATCGATGTTGTATCGTACAAAGTGTGTCATAAAAATTTTTCAAATAAACTTTTTTAGAACAAAAACAAAACAATAAAAAATTTAAATTGTGAATTGGACAATTATTATTAAAATATTTCAACTTTTTTGTTCATAAAAAAATATAAAAATCGTATATGTTCCTATTAATTAATATGTATGTATGTACATATGTTAGAGCCCTGTACGATACAAGTAATGAGTGTTTGTGTGATTCAAGTCAAGTACTATACAGAGAATGAATCGAGTGAAAGCAAAAAAAAAAATAAGTTCGACAAATTAACAGATTTTTCGAATATTACTTCGAATTTTCAAATTTAATTTCGAATAGTCGAAGATAATATAGTAACGTCATCAACTGTACTTAACACTCTGCAAATTTGGTCCCCCGAGACTGGTTTTATCAGCATTAAATTTTTTCAAACATGAGTTCGAATTTTCGAAATTTTTTATTTTAGTTTTTTAAGCCCAAAGAATAATTTAAAAAAATAAAAAATTTTTATTCGAATATAATATTATGTTATTTGTTCAATTCACAAGTTGTATATTGTACCTACTGAAGTGTAGTAACAGTGATTGTGAACAGATATTTGCAGCAAGTCATAAGTTTATGTTCTCAATAAAAAAAAACAATCAAAACAAATATACATAACAATGTCAAAAGATAAAAAAATCAAAAATATTAAATTAATTAAACATGCGAAGTAAGCCAAATTAATTTCTTTGAATTTTCAACTCTTTTATTTTCTTTATTCCACATTTTAAACTAATAAATAAACAGTTTTTAATAAAATTTAAGATTTTTTTGTTTTGGTAAACAGCTGTTTGTTTTTGATTTCAGTGTTACCACTTTATCGTTTTTTATGCTAAAATCGTTTGAATTTTTTATTTATATGTTGAAATAAACAATTGGCAACACTAAAATTTTTTACAACATTCGAAAAACATATGAAAAATTGTCGTATGAGTTGTATAGAGCTTTTGCATAGAAAATACCAACAACATTGTTATGACTATTGTAGCAGCTGCTGACATACAACGCTACAACATCGATAGTGAATTGAACAATTATGTCTGTTCATTAACAAAAAGTTGTTATAAATTATCACAAATTGTTTTTGTATTTCAATATAAATTTCAAATATTTTTGTGAAAATTAGTAACAACTTTTTGTTATTTAACAGACATATTGTTTACTCACTCGATTTGAATGTATTTGCACAGTGCCTTTGTAAATACTATTCTAAACAAATACTATTCTAAACAAACAATGAGTTGAGTGCGAAGCAATGGGTCACTCATTGTGTGTAGCAAATAGAGTTATGCAGGGCTCTAATGTATGTACAGCAAATGGTTAAATACGACCCAGAAATTGGGCGGACCTTTAAATTTTATTAAATTGTTATTAAAACCTAGATTGAATCTATATTCAAATAATCTCGCACTTGGAAAAAAGCAAAAACTTGATTCTTATTTTAAAATGGCGACCATAAAATACTGTTTACAAAAATTATGTATGAATAAGTGTAGCTATGTTGTGTGTGTATAATTTTATAACTAGAATTCATAATAAGAAAATCACTTACTGAAAACATTCCAGGACATCGTTTCATCAGGTATAATTCCAGCACCACACAAAAATAAACCGAATACAATAAACACAATACCAATGTGCAGCATTCCAATACTCGTTACAACCTTTTAAATAAAATAATATTATAAATATTTATAATCAAGATTAGGTCCTATTTATAATCAAGATTAGGTCCTATCACTACGTGCTAATTGGCTAATTATGAAAGAAAACTCTTCTAATAATATTCCCAAGAAATTTATATGTCCCGACTGGCTTCAGTAGCAGCTTATCCTGTTTATTCAATTATCCAAGACATTGTTGTTAGTTTCTGGTTATATGTCACGAGTGGCAAGGTCGATATTAACCGATCCTTGCGGATCGTTTCATAATTGTTGTCATTAACTACACTCCACGAAAAAATGCCAAAGTCTAAATGCATCTGCAATGCGTGACATAGCCAAGCCGACTTATAACACAACTACCGAAAATAGTTCGAAAAAGATTATTTGATGAACAAGACAGTTAGAAAAAATCCATTCATTTTGGAAATCAGTTTTAAATGTTTTCAAATATAAAGAAACGCATTTCAGTCTACGGAGGTATGATACTAGGAAATAGTGAAACATTTTGAATGGAAAGGATCTATCAGTGTCAAAATAACCAATGCATGTTTCAAAATATTTTTTATGGATCCGAAATTTGTAGTAACTAAAATTATGAGAAGGATAAGTATGTAACTTTTCCGGAACATAAAAAACCTTTCTGACCCATTAACAAACAATTTTTTACAACAAAATCAAGAGTTTACCAAACGGAATTATAAATTACACATTGGAAGATATTTCAAAGAAGAAATTAATTAAATTTATTGGGAGTCATTTCATTTAGGAAACCTGTCACGGTGTCTATCAGATAAGATCTACATACTACATACGTACATTATTATTAAAAACTTTTTAAAGCTAGAAACATTTACCTGACTATCCAGACCTGGCCCAGGCTTAACTGTATTATGGGCTTGATGAAATTTACGTCGAAATGATCCACTCGGAGAATGAAATGTTTCTCCACTTTCGGAACTCTGAGTACTGTAACGTCTTTCTCTAGCACGTTTCTGTTCATCACGCCTCTTACGTTGGCGTTTTATTGCCATGGCGGAATGTATACCAACTGCATGCATTTTTAAGCTAAATAAAATAAATAAAAATAATTAAGTAATAAATTTATAAACAGGTTGTTGATCTAGTTAATACAAGTAAAAAATGAACAAGAAAGTATTGTCGACCAAATCCGACCGTATGATATCGTATACCAGTAAGGATTATACAACGTTTTCATCGATTATCATTTATTTCGAATTTTAGCTTAATTCCAATATACATATGTATGTATGTATTTATGATTTTTATTTACTACAAAGAGTGTGTGCCAAATGATAGCAAAGTTCTATGGTGGAAAATGTTCCTATGGTGGGAAAATGTTTACATTTTGCTGTGTCAAACGATATCTTTTCTGGCTGTGATAAATTTTGAAAATTGTCACTGATTAATCTCAGAAATTTGACACTTTCAATAAAAATAATCAGTTTTTATATGCTTTATGAATTTTATAAATAAATCTTTTTAATATGAAATGGATTTTGAAATTAAATTTTTAAGTTTTTGTTTTTCATTTATTTATTTTTTGTTTTGTCAATTTTTTATCTTCATTTGTCAGAAATTTATGTAGGCCAATGAGCAGTCAAATTTTATTCACCTCATAGCTATCAAAAATTTACTTTTACCAGTAAATTGCTATCGATTGGCACACACTCAAACTTACTATCTAAAAGGGACTTTGATGTTTTCAAATATTGACATACATATACGCATAAAATTTTACCAATGGACTTACATATGTTAATATAAAACTGGTTTATGCATAATTTCACAGGGACATTAATATTTAGTATTCCAAAATAGGCAGTACAGTAGTTTTCCGATTTAACGACCATTCAATTCTACGAACATCGCATTTAACGAACAAGCTAATTTTTCCTATTGACTACCTTAAATAACGAACAAAACTTGTTTTTTGTACTCTGTTTAACGAACTAATAAAAATATTATTATTTAAATGAAGATAAAATGACATTTATCAAAAATAACAAATAACCTAAGTTGTAGCAAAAAACTATACCGTTGTTTTAAGCGGTGCTTTTATACCCAAAACTGTAACACATTCTGGGTTCTTATTAAATTTTAGTTCGATGTAGCTATGTCCGTCCGTCCTTCAGATAATGACTTTAACGCTCAATACTCGCTTAACAATACGAGTACGCCGATGAAATTCGATACAAACATGTTCTATACTAACCGAAATCTCTAACAAATTTTATGGGAATCGGTCCATAATTGACCTTACCCTCCATATCAGGCCCCCTTAAGAAAATTACTTCAACACTCATTACTCGCTTAAAAATACGAGTATAGCGATGAACTTCGAGAAATAACTTTAACGCTCATGACTGAATTAAAAATACAGCGATTAAATTCGACACAAATATGGTTTGAAGGTTGCACAGTGGTATAGGAAAAAAAAAAGAGGGAAATAATTCGGTAACTTCTAAACGGTTAATCCGATTTTAATGAAATTTGGTGTGCACAAAGAGGAGGTGTTGTCGAGTTTAGGTTTTGAATTTGGACCTTATAGGCCAACCAGGGGCCCGGCGGGGGGTCATCAAATTAGGACACCTCGGCTATGTTAAATTTTTAAAACGATCCTATTTCTTCATTTGAGTTCCGATTTAAAAAAAATTTCGTATATAGAATCTCCTCATCGAGCACTATAAAAAATGTTGTAAATTATCTCTTATAGTTTAGGAGATATTCGCATTTGAAAATTAAAATTTTAAAATTTTTACCGTCCTTACTTTAGTTTTTTTTGATAATAGCAGGTCCAAATATTCCCGATTTTCGCCATTTTGTTTTATTCGCTTAACAACAAGTTTATATATCAAGCAGTGAAAGAATTATGTAAAAATCATGACTGAGTCCAAAGTTATAGGCATTTTAATTTAAAAAATTAAAAAAAGGCGATTTTTTGTCATTTTTTTTGGGAAAAAAGTATCTTTTTCTTTTTAAGTTATCTAAAAAGTTTCTAAGAAGATGTATATAGAATTTATACTTTTTGGAAAGCTGACTTTACATAAAATACGATAAATGAAACAAAACCTAAAAATTTTTGATACCGAGGGGACCAGGTCCATCCAAAAAAACCCTATTTTTTATGGAAAATTAAATTTTGAGCAAAAATTCTCAAATCGCATAGTCGATATCAAATTATAGTGACCTGTTTTATATGACCCAATAAGTTCTTAATCATTTTGTAACGGGTTTCGATAACCCCGCCCCTGGTATGGATATAATAGGCAAAAAACCAAAAAATCCCATTTTTGGGATTTTTTAAAACTTTTTTGGGAATTCCGGGATTTCTAATAAGAAAATTCGAAATTTTTTTAATTTTGGATTTTGAGTAAAAAAATCTACCTAACTGTAAAATTTCATCAAAAAATATTCATAAATAAAATTTTTATTGCAATTTGAAAAATTTGTATCTTCGCAAAAACTGAATAAAAAACATTTTTTAATTTTTTTTAAAAAAAGTATTCCGCGAATTTTTTAATTTTCAAAAATTATATACAGTTTTGAAAAATAGACAAAATTACCTTTCCATTGATATATAACATGCCTACCTAATGTTTTTTAAGTGACAAATTAATTAGGGAAAACTCAACATCTTTTAGAAAATTTGCCTAGCACTATTATTTTCATCCATAAGGTTAACTCTTAAATTTGTTACATATATGGATGAAAATAATAGTGCTAGGTAAATTTTCTAAAAGATGTTGAGTTTTCCCTAATTAATTTGTCACTTAAAAAACATTAGGTAGGCATGTTATATATCAATGGAAAGGTAATTTTGTCTATTTTTCAAAACTGTATATAATTTTTGAAAATTAAAAAATTCGCGGAATACTTTTTTTAAAAAAAATTAAAAAATGTTTTTTATTCAGTTTTTGCGAAGATACAAATTTTTCAAATTGCAATAAAAATTTTATTTATGAATATTTTTTGATGAAATTTTACAGTTAGGTAGATTTTTTTACTCAAAATCCAAAATTAAATAAAAATTTCGAATTTTCTTATTAGAAATCCCGGAATTCCCAAAAAAGTTTTAAAAAATCCCAAAAATGGGATTTTTTGGTTTTTTGCCTATTATATCCATACCAGGGGCGGGGTTATCGAAACCCGTTACAAAATGATTAAGAACTTATTGGGTCATATAAAACAGGTCACTATAATTTGATATCGACTATGCGATTTGAGAATTTTTGCTCAAAATTTAATTTTCCATAAAAAATAGGGTTTTTTTGGATGGACCTGGTCCCCTCGGTATCAACAATTTTTAGGTTTTGTTTCATTTATCGTATTTTATGTAAAGTCAGCTTTCCAAAAAGTATAAATTCTATATACATCTTCTTAGAAACTTTTTAGATAACTTAAAAAGAAAAAGATACTTTTTTCCCAAAAAAATGACAAAAAATCGCCTTTTTTTAATTTTTTAAATTTAAATGCCTATAACTTTGGACTCAGTCATGATTTTTACATAATTCTTTCACTGCTTGGTATATAAACTTGTTGTTAAGCAAATAAAAAAAAATGGCGAAAATCGGAAATATTTGGACCTGCTATTATCAAAAAAACTAAAGTAAGGACGGTAAAAATTTTAAAATTTTAATATTCAAATGCGAATATCTCCTAAACTATAAGAGATAATTTACTGCTACGACGACATTTTTTATAGTGCTCGATGAGGAGATTCTATATACGAAATTTTTTTTAAATCGGAACTCAAATGAAGAAATAGGATCGTTTTAAAAATTTAACATAGCCGAGGTGTCCTAATTTGAGGACCCCCAGCCGGGCCCCTGGTTGGCCTATAAGGTCCAAATTCAAAACCTAAACTCGACAACACCTCCTCTTTGTGCATACCAAATTTCATTAAAATCGGATTAACCGTTTAGAAGTTACCGAATTATTTCCCTCTTTTTTTTTTCCTATACCACTGTGGGTTGGTATATAAGATTCGGAATTTTGTGTTTTGTGCTATTTTTATAAAAAAAAAGAATTAATTTTTATAAAATACATTTAAAAATTATTTTATGTACCTATTTTTAATTACTTTCCTACCAAAAACCCACGTTTTAGTTAGTACTGCATATAACGAACTTTTCAGTTTTACGAACAGGCCTGACAACACACAGTGGTATCGGAAAAAAAAGAGGGAAATAATTCGGTAACTTCTAAACGGTTAATCCGATTTTAATGAAATTTGGTATGCACAAAGAGGAGGTGTTGTCGAGTTTAGGTTTTGAATTTGGACCTTATAGGCCAACCAGGGGCCCAGCGGGGGGTCCTCATATTAGGACACCTCGGCTATGTTAAATTTTTAAAACGATCCTATTTCTTCATTTGAGTTCCGAGTAAATTATCTCTTATAGTTTAGGAGATATTCGCATTTGAAAATCAAAATTTTTACCGTCCTTACTTTAGTTTTTTGATAATAGCGGGTCCAAATATTCCCGATTTTCAATATATTTTTTTAATATATGTAACAAACTTAAGAGTTAACCTTATGGATGAAAATAATAGTACTAGGTAAATTCTCTAAAAGATGTTGAGTTTTCCCTAATTAATTTGTCACTTAAAAAACATTAGGTAGGCATGTTATATATCAATGGAAAGGTAATTTTGTCTATTTTTCAAAACTGTATATAATTTTTGAAAATTAAAAAATTCGCGGAATACTTTTTTTAAAAAAAATTAAAAAATGTTTTTTATTCAGTTTTTGCGAAGATACAAATTTTTCAAATTGCAATAAAAATTTTATTTATGAATATTTTTTGATGAAACTTTACAGTTAGGTAGATTAGATTTTTTAGATTTTTACTCAAAATCCAAAATTAAATAAAAATTTCGAATTTTCTTATTAGAAATTCTTAGAATTCCCAAATTATTAGAATTCCCAAAAAAGTTTAAAAAAATCCCAAAAATGGGATTTTTTGGTTTTTTGCCTATTATATCCATACCAGGGGCGGGGTTATCGAAACCCGTTACAAAATGATTAAGAACATATTGGGTCATAT